CTTCAGCCTCATATTGCTAACTGTAAATTTGTAATTCAAAAATTATCTGAATTCAAACTGAATGAATTATATGAGCATGGTGGGAGCTAAACAAGGGAAAGGCAATGACAACTGGCAATGTCAGTGTATTGTGTCATAACGTTATACAAATAGATTTGTAGCTGGCTTACATATCTGATGGCAGGTAGCTAATTTTATTGTAAGGTTAGCAAGCTAAATTAGATAGCACAATTAGCTAATGTTAGCCTGCACATTCTGATACATTCTCATTCCTAGCTACATTGCTGAATAAACATTCAAATGAAAATGATGACTTATTAAAAGTATTTCATCATTCACTTGGCCTCCAGTAAGTGTCGGGAAAGCTGCTCCTTTTAGCTTGTTGGCAGGCAAATTCAGAGCTGTAGTTCAATTTTCAAATGAGTCGGCAAAGGGGGTGCAATGATTATTCGGCTTGGTCAACTAAAATCAACTACCAAATTAGTTCTCAATTGATTTAATAGTCGATTAGTTGGTGACGTCATTACGCGTTTTTCCTGCGCTCACTGGGAATGTTTTGACATTACCGCTTAACGGAGAGTTGACAAAATCAAAATGTCAGCCTAAATAACAAAATCCTCAAAATGTGGAAGCATTTCACGCTAAACTCAGAAAAAGGTTGCCGGTTGTGCTATTTGTAAAGCCGACCTCAGCTGGCACAGGAGCACATCCTCCATGTTGGAGCATCTGAAGAAGAAACATCGGCTCAGTGGATGAAAGATTTATCTCGGTAAGATATACCTCGTCCCAAACCTCATACTAGCACACTTAGTAGTGTGTAAAAATAGCGCATATACTATTAGAAGTGCACTCATTAGTGTAGTGTGTGAAGTACAGAAGTGTGTGGTTTGGGACGCAACAATAGTTGTGCTAGTGAGCTAGCTAGCTAGTGTTGATGTTAAAAGCCGTCCTACTTCATGTTATGAGCTGAAAAATTTTCTATTTTGAAATGCATGTTCTCTTGAATCATTTATGGAGTTGGAACAGAGAAGCAAGTAACTGTTATTCACAAAGACCCTGTTCACTTTCCAAATTACATTTACAGTTTTAAACACTGCATCGTTGCGGTAACGGCGTGGCCGCCGCTGCGTCCAAATTCGGCGAACAGAGGAGAACATTTGCAAACAGTTTTCCATTTTCCACGGATGTTTGGCTCCACCCGCAAACAGGAGGTAGTTCTCAGTGAACTTACAGGGCAGCTGGACAAAGGGTTAGCGCTGAAATGAAACTTTTCCAAAAATCGCTCAAATTTAACTGTGTAGAGAACAAGTTTGCCACAAACGTTTGTATCTGTTCTCAGGGGAGAGTGAGTCTCTCACAAGAGCATGAGAGATGCTAACTTTCCTCTGTTTCAGTAAAGACCTTTAAACAATTAATTGTTTAGATTTGTTTATTTACTTGATTAAAGGAAAACTGGTTTAGTTCTGTTATATTTTATTGCTGATACTTTGCATAGTGAATTCTTGAATGTTATTCATCTTCGTCTCCATTGTTAGTTAGCAAATGCATTAAACAACCTCTATCCAAATTTAAAAGCTAATAGCTACATAAGAGTTATTTGGTAACATAGTGATTCATAATCCAAATAATCAATTATTCGTTTCAAAAATCGATAGATTATTCAACTATCAAATTAGTCGTTTGTTGCAGCCCTAGTCGGCAATAAAAAAACTCTTCCTACAAACAATTGTACTGGGTGTCAATTCAACCCCTAAAATAAATTTGAGCAATTTGGTGTACTTAATGGGTAAATTTCTGGTCATATTTGACAATTATGTGTGCCTAAAGCCTACACCAGGTTCTGACATGACAGGCTAATGTAAACGTTACCTTTCATAAATTCTCCAACAGCCTAAAATAAAAACTTTGCTGACAAAAGCATATTGCTTATATATGACTGCTTAACACACTTATTTTATCTGCATCCTCACAGTTATTGCAAACTTGTACTCAAATGTATCTACAGTGTCTCGGCAGTTTGAGATGCACTCACACTTGAAACAGCACTCCTCGAGCCATTTTTTCAAACAGAGCGCAACAGCAAAGCAGGAAGCATTTACGTGTTAAATTCTCTGCATTTTATCACAGTGATAAACAAGTGAGAGTCTTTACTGACTGTTAAATCAGATATATATAACCATGCTTACCAATAGTAAATAATGAAAAAAGTTAATGAAGACAATATTTGAGCATAGCATATCTAACAGTTTGAAAGAGACAACACAAGCTGCCATTATTTTTTTTTTTACTAGCCAGCCTAGATGCTGGTATCGGGTATCAGCCCGTTACCGTGCTCATTTACTTGTACTGATACCATGTGATGAGCTTGTCACACTGCTGCACTAATGAATAAGCGACTCAACCTGGCAGGGATCAAGGGTCTGCTCACACAGCAAAGTGTTACTGACACCACGGCAGTTGGACATAAAGCCATTGGTTGCTTTAAACATTCTGCCTTTCACTCGATTTTAGCCCAATCACAACCAAAACATTTTGACTGAATAGAATTGTTAAGTATAAACATTAATATGTTGACTGTTTTAACTCTGTTAAAAAGGGTCCAGTCACTCGCGGTAAACCGCTAAACCACAGGGATAAGCTGATTTTTCACTGCAGTAAGAAAAAATCTATACCATCCCAGCCCTGCTTTACTTGCAGTTGTACAGAAGTGCTTTTCGGACGTGCAACAAACCCCACTCTGTTCCACTGCAACGCTACTCTATCCAAAGTAATTAATGCAACATAGCTAGCTAATGCACATCATTTCAAATCAGCTCTATTTTAATTATTTAACTGTTAAGGCACACTGCATTCATTTACACTAAAAACTACTTAATTCTAAGTAGGTTACTCAGTATGGTATTGGAATCGGATTTAGCAAGTACTTAAAAACATGCATTCGTACTTGTTTTAAGGGAAAAAAAAAAGCTATCAATGCATCCCTACAGGAAATGATGTAACAAACCAAACAGGTGCTTTATTTGCATAAAGTTGAGGTTCGCTGGTCTCAGATCAGCAAAAAGGTACAATGTAAAGCCCACTAGGATGGGGAAAATTGGCTGTATCTGGCTTCTCAATTTTGATGAATGAGGCTAATCTCAATTATTGATGAAAGGAAAATAAAGCAGCAAAATTTCTCAAAAACAGTGAAGAATTTTAAATGCTAAACATATTTACTAGTTAACTTAAGGCATGTGAAATCCAAAAATGGCAGGTCACACACATAGAGTATAATGCCATAATTTCCTTTTTCTCAGGCTGTCTTTGAAAGTACAGGCAAATATAAATAATAATTTTGTAAAGACAAAACATTACTTTAGTACACGAGTGTTCCTATGTTTGGCCTCTGTGTACTATCTACTTTGAATGCTAATATAGTAAAAGCCACTCAATTCCACCTACACCAAGTAATCAGACTCAAGAGACTTTCACTTTCAACAATTCCTTCATAGGTCAAAGTCCCTTAGAAAGCAAGAAACGCAGTTTTCTTCGCCACTCCTAAGGACAAACATACAAATTCGTACAGGACATTTACAAAAATCACATTTTTCTGTGCACTAATTTACATCACAGCTAACCAGAAAGTAAAAATACGTATGAGCACTATCTCAGTGCAAGAGCTCAAAATATAAAGCTGTATTTTTAACAGAAAATGTTAGCTACATTGGTGGGCCAGTTAAGGCATTACTTATGCCAGTTATCATAAGAGAAACAAAAATAGAGCAGATTTTACAACTTATCTCTCTGAATAAGCTGGACAAGTCTGTAAGAAGTTCAACGTAGACTAATACGGTCCACGAGTTATCTGAAGTTAGGTTAGGGAAAAAAGTCTTAACTGGCCTGGCATTTCTATCAACTTAGAGTTCTAAACATGTCTTTATAAATCACCATATTTGGTCACAGGTTTTTCCGTTTACATTTAACTTTCCAGGTTTGACTAAACTATAGGCAGCCTAAGCCACCAAGTCAAGTCAATCGGCTAGTTTAAATGGTAAAATCCATTAATGGCAGGCGAGCCAAGAAAGCAGCAGACCTAGCAAGAGCTACGCGAACACCATCAACGTCACCGAACTTAGTATGTTTCTTTTTAACATGTGGGTTAATTGCTTATTGGGTAAAGAATAAAACGTGTTTACAATATAATGTGTATGAGCTACTCGCAAATTATCATTTGTCTTGCTGACATGTGAGTCGTAGCCAAATGCTAAATCCAGACGTGCAAGTCATTCACTTTAAGAGGCTTCCAAAGCTTCTACCAAGGTTCCACATACAGCATGACTCAAGACGGCTAGCTAGCTAACTTGCTAGCTAGCATGAACTACAAGACCAGCAAGGCCAGTCCAGCTTGGTTTGACCGACCGCCTACAAGCTTTATCTGACTAGCCAGACCTCTCGTCTAAGTTAGCTAATTGGGGCATACAAAGACTTGCCAGATCATGCTGCTTTGGTAGTATTACTTTGTGAAACATTTTAAAGGACTAATCTAAAGTAGGCCTACAAGGCCTTGACCTATTATTGGCCACCTTGATGACAGTGCAGTCACCTCTCAAGTGGCCATGAGCCCTAGAGCTCGGAATAGCTAAAAATTCAATCCTGTGCCGTGGCAGCTCTCCATTCGCCCTTCGCGACAGGCCAAAACCAGGGCGCTAACCTAGCTGTTAGCTTGCTAACTACGGTCCTAGCCACCACACAGAACAGGAAGCCGAAAAGTAGGCATACGGACTAACTGGCAAAAGGTTTTCGCTGGTCTGTCTGTGAATTTTTAAGAACGAGTTTGCGAAAATGGCTGCTAAGTTATCGTTAAAGAGGAGTTTTGAAAAGGTTGCAAAATTCATGGCGGCGGCCATCATGAGCCTTTCCCAATGCATTTCAATACAAAACATGGCAACCCACGGCTGAAGACAAGCCAGTGTGCTACAACTCTCACCCAACGACGCAACAATCGACTGTTTTCCACCTACCTTCATGTCGGGACATCCTACAGACAATGACACAGCCCGCTCCTCGGGCTCCCTAATACGTATTGTACGAAAAGGTGCCCCTAAAAACGAAATAAAAGTGGGACGCGGTCTCTTTCCTATTTTCTCTTGAAGATGAATCCGGGGCTTACACTTCTTCCTTTTCCCCTCCCCGTGTGTCATGAGCCAGCGGTGAGTGTTTACTGACGGGGCGCCAGCAGGGGGCGCGCGGGTAAACGAAATTCTTTTTCATTGATGGTTAAAACGGCGGTAATTTTCAAACGGCGCGTTCGTTACAAATCACTTTGACTAGTTAGGCTTGCTGACCAAAGATCAGCATAACAATTAACCAGACCACTGTTGTCGTGACTACACCCGGCTGCTTTCGCCAACTGCCATGGTGAAAGATTGGCCTGTCCCATTTGGCACACTTGTGGTCCTCCGGTCCTCATTTGCATGTACCAATAAGGGTTGCGACTCTATAGGGCAGAGGTCTGAAAAACCCAGACTGAGAAACCTGTTTCTGGTCTTGGATTTTGTAATCACTGTTAGGAATTAAACTAGGTGGTCAGTCAGTTGTATTAACAGTTTAGTTCATTACTGAATACTAAATTCCAGGATCAGAAACTGGATTCAAGTTCCAGATTTGAAGACATCTGCCATAGCAGGGGTGCACAACTTTGGTCCTAGAGGTCCAGTGTCCAGCACAGTTTGATGATTTACCTGTCAAACACCTGATTAAGCTTATCTCTTAAGTGCCAGGTTTAGTGGGTGTGTTTGAATTGGGAAACCTCCAAACTGTGCTGGACATGGGCCCTCCAGGACTGGAGTTGTGTGCACTGTGCTATTAGGTTTCTCATTTTTTATTTTGGGAATCAAAGGAGTTTGCATGGGCACTTCTGTGTGCCCTTAGCATGGCCTTTGGTGAGGATCACATCAATGGCAGACTAAGCAGTGTCAGTGTAAGCAGAATCGATTGGTTTGTTTATAGCTGGCTGGCCAATATGGTAAAAAAGAAGATACACATGTGTTAATGCATTTGTTTAAATTAATTTACCTTGTTACTAAAATACATTATGCTTGTTATCTGGATCAAGCCACTGTAGAGAAGCAAATAGGTCAGTTTAAAAAAATGAATACATGAACATAATTTCACTGGATACAGTACATGCATAGCTTGCATGTAACATGAGTATATCCCAAATGCATGCTTTTAAACTACAGCCCTCAATGTCTCTTGCCCTATATGACCCAAAAAGTTGCATTTACCCTTATTTGTCCCACAATGGGGAAATTTCACTTCCACATTTTAACCCATCCGTGCAGTGAAACACCCACATACACACTAGTGCACACAAGCACACTTGCCCGGAGTGGTGGGCAGCTCTATCTATGGCACCCAAGGAGCAGTTAGGGGTTAGGTGCCTTGCTCAAGGGCACTTCAGTCATGTGCTGTCAGTTCAGGGGATAGAGCCGGCGACTTTCCAGTCACAAGGCTGGTTCCTTACCCTCCAGCCCACAACTGCCCCAAGGTGCCCCAAGCCCTGAGGTCCTCCTGAAAGTGTGATGTCAACAATGTGTAGATGTAGAGGACAAAAGACCTTGATTGCATTGGGTTTGAAAGCATGCATTTTAACAGACCCATGCACCGCACAGGCTATACATGTACTGTACCAGAGAATTTATGTTATCAGTTTTTTTATTATTTGAGCTAATTTACTTATTTATAGTGGTTCAACATAGATTATAAGCATTATGCAGCTTACTGACAAGGTAAATAATAAACAAATGTATTTTATCTCACATATGAATATCTTCTTTTCCGCCATGTTGGTCAGACAGCCGTAAACAAACTCATCCACTGGACAAAGCCTGCATGTCACGAAATTTTGTATAAAAGGCTACTGATGAGTCTGCATTGGAGGCCACAATAAGAGCTTATAGAGGGTGCTCACACTTGTAAGCATCTCTTTGAACACCAAAATGAGCAATGGGACATTCTTTGGTTTCATTCTTTGGTTTCACAAATAGGACCGCAAATGCACCAAATGATGTGTTCTTGTTGATAGATGTGCATTGGGTTGTAACAGAATATAAGTATTCAAAATACATATTTAGAATACATAAGTTAAGCATCTGTATTTAGTCCCTATATATACACTATTTGAGGGCAGCATTCAGAATACAGTTACCTTTTATTTTTTTAGGAGAATACTTTTAGAATCCTCCTACACACACACACACACACACACACACACACATATATATATATAATGTGTATATAAATGTGTAATCCTGCCTTCCACCCAATGACTGCTGGGAGGCTCCAGCTCCCTACGCAACCCAGAAGGGGTCAATAAGCGGCTTAGAAGATGTGTGTGTGTGTATATATATATATATATATATATATATATATACACCGATCAGGCATAACATTATTACCACCTCCTTGTTTCTACTCTCATTGTCCATTTTATCAGCTCCACTTACTATATAGGCGCACTTTGTAGTTCTACAATTACAGACTGTTGTCCATCTGTTTCTCTGAATGCTTTGTTAGCCCTCTTTTACCTGTTCTTCAGTGGTCAGGACCCCCATGGACCCTCACAGAACAGGTACTATTTGGGTGGTGGATCATTCTCAGCACTGCAGTAACACTGACGTGGTGGTGGTGTGTTAGCGTGTGTTGTGCTAGTACGAATGGATCAGACACAGCAGTGCTGCTGGAGTTTTTAAACAATGTGTCCACTCACTGTCCACTCTATTAGACTCCTACCTTGTCAGTCCACCTTGTAGATGTAAAGTCAGAGACGATAGCTCATCTGCTGCTGCATAGTTTGTGTTGGTTATCCTCTAGTCCTTCATGAGTGGTCACAGGACGCTGCCCACAGGATGCTGTTGGCTGGATATTTTTGGTCAGTGGACTATTCTCAGTCCAGCAGTGACATTAAAGTGTTTAAAAACTGCAGCAGCACTGCTGTGTCTGATCCACCCGGGCCAGCGCAACACACACTATCACACCACCACCACATCAGTGTTACTGCAGTGCTGAGAATGATCCACCACCCAAGTAGTACCTGCTCTGTGAGGGTCCATGGGGGTCCTGACCACTGAAGAACAGGGTAAACGGGGGCTAACAAAGCATTCAGAGAAACGGACTAGATGGACTACAGTCTGTAGCATTGGTGTTGTACTGGACTCATGCATGTGTTTCGTGGCAAGCTTATATTAGAGATGAAACGATATTAAAATTTCATATCACGATTATCATAACCAAAATGATCACGATGATCGATATTATCGCAATATTGTTCAAAAGCGTTGAAAAGTAAAATAAATAAATAAATATATTTTTTTTATTAACACAGATAGAATTGGCAGCAATATGCACTTTAAAAAATAAAAAAATATAGTCAATACATTTGTAGTATTACTTTTGTATTACTTACAATACTCTGTAAACAAAAGAATAGCAAATGTATTATTATTACTGTTATCACTATTATATATTATATATATATATATTATTATATAATAATTATTATTATTACCGTTGTAATTATTATTATTATTATTTATTACAATAATTAGGGATTTCCCTGCATAGAGAATTAAATCTGGACCAACTCTGAGGTGGGTCTTAATGGAAAATTACTACTTCTAAGAAGTGTTGCACTCGGGGGATTTTTGTCCTAACTGCAACTGCAGCATTATTGTGCTGTTGTGGCGCTGTTCCCCTAATCAACACAGTGCACCAGGAAAAACAGCCAAAATCACAGAGGAACTGCGTGACCGTGCAGACAGCGTAGAACTCACAGTGTGTCTTCACCTGTGGAGCTGCTTCTCTAAAAGCATTTTAAAACTAAAACATAACTTAAAATTAACGCGCATCTGAGCTGCGGCAGAAACACTCCTAAAGTTTAATCTCTGAAACTCTGCTTTTCCTAAAAGCAGCACACAGCGTTTACTCGCGCAAGGTCCCGTCTCAAAGCACACTATCTTCCCTATGTAGTGCACTTCGTGGATCATGAAATAGCAAATCCTTCACCCAAAGAGTGCGTGAAACGTTCACAGTAACAATATATTAACAATAGGTTACAAATTCCCTATTTAAAACTCAATTGCTTGTTAATGATGATCGTGTTTGTTTGAACAGTAGCGCACTAGGGACACTGAGTGATTTGAGACGGTGTAATTCTCTTCTCAGACAGTAAACACCGCAAGCGAGAAAGGGGAGCTGTGCAGATTGAACCTCTGCAGCGTCTCGTTCCAGAGCTTGTGTGACCGTTAACTTAGAGCTCATTTTGGAGACTCTGCTCCACAGAAATATGTGTTAAAGGCTTTAGTTTCGATTCACAGTTGATTCACCGATTGTTTTTTTGACGCTTAAAGCTTTTTATATTATTAACGAACCATAAGCACAAGTTAAACCACACAGACCATGACATTTCTTCTATTTCGAAGTCCCCACAGACTTCTCCGTTAAAGTTAACCTTGCGTTCTCTAAAAAGTAGCGGGTGGTGGTCGCGAAGATGACTCGTAAGGTTGGATGTGTTGCCCCCTTTCGCCGCTATTTTCTTTCGGCCTGTTCTGCAGACAGGGTGGTCATCTTCAATTAACTTTCCTTCTGCATCCTTATAAAACCCAAAACATGACCAAACGTCAGACTTGGTCTTCTTAGAAGGCTGAAATATCTCCGAATCTCTGTCACTACATTCCCCCATGTTCTCCCTTCTCTACCCCTCCCCCTCCCCCTTCCCCTTCCCCTCTACATACACACAGAGCTGCGTCTGAGAGATGATTCTGCCTTTGTTTGATTCTGTGCAGCGAGTTTTTCACACCGCGGTAATCGACCGCGGTTTTAATGATACTTTAAAGTTCAAACGGTATTACTAACCGTCATTAATTTTACCGCGGTTTACCGTGAAACCGGTAACCGTTTCATCTCTAGCTTATATACAAGTCATTAACTGAATCACACAAACACCAACTTCACTTTTACAACCAACTGTTTGATTAGTTCATGAGTGGGATTATGGGAGCAGCAGTGGACTGAAACAAGCAATGAGAGCCAAACTAATGTTGAGAATTTTGCAATTTTATTTAAATAAGTGAATTTGTCCTGTAACATTAACAGAAAAACTGCATGAAGAAAACTCACAAACAGTAATGC